AAGAGGCTGTGCCTGGGTTACATCAACTTTTCACTAGGGAGAAGGCAGCATTCAAAAAGTGCAGTTCCTTGAGTCGACCCCAGGGGTCGCTGTGGAGACACAGCCGGCTCCCGAAGCCTCTGCCAGGTCAGCGGGTCCCCACCTACTCCAGCTTGACAAAGCCCAGCCTCCATCCGGTTTGTAGAGACTCCTCGGAAGAGGAGAGCGGCCTCCCTTGGCAACAAAGACCGCCCAACTGCTTCAGTTATAACCACTATATTTCTTTTAGGGTTTTTCCCAGACTTTGAAAAGTAAAAGAAAGAAAAGAAGAAACCCTGGAAGAGAATGTGGCCTAAGTTAAATGGGACCACAATTAGGCACTAGAGTTAGTACAAGCAATGATGCAATTCAATACAAGTGGGAGAATTAAAACTTGGTCTGCTGTGTATTAGTAACTCAGTCATTGGGGAAGTCTAGGGAAGAGGTTCAAGTCTGTCTTTGATCTCTGTGTCTCTCTTACTCACACATCCACACACAGAGAATCTTCAAAAATGAAATCCCTATCACTTGGCTGTAGACCTGAAACTAACACAATATTATAAATCAACTATAGTTCAATGAAAGAAAAAGAAAAATAATCCCTGACTGTCCAGCAAAAATACTACTGTATTCTAGCAACTGCTAGTATTTTCCTTCATTGGGCAATTGGTTGACAGTCCAGCAATGTATTGGAGAAGGAAATGGTAACCCACCCCAGTATTCTTGCCTGGAGAATCCCATGAACAGAGGAGCCTGGCGGGCTACAGTCCATGGTGTCGCAAGAGTCGGATATGACCTAGTGACTAAACCACCACCACCAGCAGTATGTACATAGAAAAGATACATCCATGAATAGAATGGTAAGTTGCACCCCTGCCCCAAACCATACAGTGCTACTACTGTGTCCATTCTATGTTCCATGATTTCACTTGGCAATTTACAGGGGAAATAGAAGAGAAGATTGTCTGGTATTAAATGTTTAGCATTTATGTGAGTCAGTTACAAAAGAAACCTCATCATGATGTCTCCTGCTGTACAGTTTGGTTTATCTAATTCAATATGACAGAATAAACCAACATGATTATTTACTTTCTTCCATTGCGTAGCTTGGAGATTCCACTCTTCCTGAACATGAGCTGCTTATTTTCCTTGCAAGGAAAATCCAAGATAATCCCACACTTCTTTTTTCTCTGTCCTGACTAATATCATACTGCTGCTAACTGAAGTTACAGATGGGTAGAGTGACACTACTGCTTAGGCTAAATGAATGGGAAGTTTTGATGTCTCTCATTGAAGCCCTTTAAGATCATCATAATATACTATATATCATACAAAAGAGTGAAATTCATAGTCCAACTTACTTAAGAAAACTAAAGATGTTTTGCTTTTAGGTTATTACTTTGGAGGTGGTGCTACTGCAGAATTTAGCAATCCCAAATAAATCCCAGGGTCACCGGGCTTCTCCACATGGGAATTTCATAATTTTTTGATGTAAGGGGGTTGGAAGTGGGAAGAGGACCTGTCCTGTGCATTCTAGAGTGGTTAACAGCAATCCCTGGCCTCTCCATCCCCAGTCATGACATCCAAAAATGTCTCCAAACATTGCCAAACATTCCCTGAGGGTGGGGATAGCAAAAGCGGTAACATCACCACAATAAGAACCAAAACACCTGCCTGAAATTTGTTACATGGGAGAGAGAGGAGAAAGAAAGAAAAAAAAGTTTTGTCTCGTCCTTTTTCCTTTTTTGACTGTCCAAGTGTCTACATATTTCAATTGTTAATCATTTGGATTCTTACTCCATTAAGTGGAATCACTCTTTCTAAATTTCTAAAGCCTAGTACAGTGTCTTTGGAATAGATGTGCCTTGAGATTCCAGTGGATTGTCAAAGGATGAGAAGTCTGCTAATTCCCACTGGGTAAAGTGTGGATAAACCTTAGCATAACTCCACTTTGAGCCTTAAACTAACAGCACGTGAAAAGATCAATACAAATAAATTCAAAACTAATCAAACCCCTTCTTCAAATGTTGACACAGTATTATTTATAACCCATAAATACCTTCTTGACTAAAATTTATCCTAGGAGATTGGCACCTGGCCAGTTCTATTCATATTTACTGTATTTATATAGTACACTGGTCCAAGGATAATATTTAAGACAAAATATGCTTCAAGACATATACAATATCTTATATTTTTACTTTTAAAACTCTGCATTGCTAAAAATATTCGTCTGAACTGTATAAAATGTCCTGCAAAGGACTATCAAGAATCTGTAATGATATATAGCTCATTGAGTATAATTAGAGCATATTTGTAATATTTGAGTTGAAGTCACTCCCTGAACGCTAATAAGTTGGTGGTAAAAAATGAACCAGTGATCTTTCCCATGCCTCCATCCCTGGGGCTCGTGACCGTCCTCGGATTCCCTTTGAGAAATGACAGGCACACTCCCTCCCCACAGCAGCTTCAGAGAGGACCGAGTTAAAAGTTAAGAGGAACAGTCCTAAAGAGGGAGACTTGGTATATAAGCCAATGCTGTCCTTTCAATTTGCCCTTTAAAAAATATGGTGGAGTGATTTTTTTTTTCTTTTCTCCCCCCCTCCCCTTTCTTTGGAAGGGTTCTCTATATTCCAGTATAACTAGAAAGTGCTGGAAAATCAGTTAACCTACTTTCTATAAAATTATCCACAGTCCTAGCACAGTAGTATCAAATCTGCTATTAATAAGACTTTCTGCTCCTAAACTTCCTTTCAGGCTTTAAGAAGCCTGCATTCTTTGTAGGAAAACTGATAGTGTGTATTTTATCCTGTGCTGATCAGAGGTTTTCAATTTCTTTGGTAGCTGGGAGTGGAAACAGAAGGGAATCCACACACCCATCTTTAATGCCAACCTCTGAAATCCTAATAATCTGAGAATTTTCCCAGTTTGGTGATGATTATGATCCCGAGTGGGATCATCTCAATTCTTGAGACTGAAGAGGGTTTGAAAGCATGAACACCCTCTTGGGTAACTTGCTCTCTCCACACCTATCTCAGGAAGAGATCAGACCTCCTGTGTGATATAAAAATACCAGCAGTTCATTAAAGCTGTTGCAGGTAAACACTGAAGGGTTGGCTTGTTCTGATTCTACATAACATAACTGCCTGCCTGCCCAAATTCCAACAGAACGTCACACGTGCTAGAGAAAGCAAACTGACTCAACTCCCTGTTGGGTCTCAATGATTTTGCGCTAAATTACAATGAACTTTATTTCCTAATATCTCCAGGGCTCCGTCCCAGGTAGAAAGCTTTCCTTCCTCCCACCCCCCTTACCCGCCTCCCTCCACCCCCCATCACCAAGATGGAGTGTATATTATCACCACTGTGGTGAATGGTGTCATAATTACAATAATAAAATCGACCCCCTTGCCAGGATCTCCTATCTCAGCTCTGCTCTTAAACAAGAGATGCTGCTGCAGCAAAACAGAGGTCGCCAGGAAGACTGGGGTTGTATACGTCAGCTGATATTCTGAGACCATCAGATACAAGACATGGCAAGTCCCGGAACTACGACTTGTCAAACTAAATATAAATATTCAAAAAGAGAAGCACCACCCTGCAATTAGAACCTCTAGGATAAAACTACCAAGATGGCCATATTATCTCTGTAGGCAAGACACACAGACTTTGTGAAGGCAGCCAGAGAGTATATAGGGCATGAAAAGGGGCGGAGAGAAATGGGCAACCAATGAAAAGTGAACGACTTGGGACTTGGAATACGCAAAAGTTGGAGCTTTTTTTTTTTTTTTCTTCTCTCCTTTCTTTTTCTTCTTCCTGGTATTTAACCCTCTCAGGTATCAATATATGCTTCTTCTTTGCTTTTTCTTTTTTTAAGAACTTGGAAATCATCCTAAGCTAACTGCCCTCTTCCCTTCCCCCCAAGAAACTCCAACAATAAATCATTTCACTTCCACGGCTACTGTATGCCAGCTGGTTTTGAGGACACTGCCCTCAGAGAAGCCAGTTAAAAAAAAAAAAAGAAATCGGCTGTCTTCTACGCTGAGATTCAGGAATGCAACGAAGTGACTGCAGGAAGCCTATGAAAGGGCAGGGAACACCGGGCTCCAGAGTGAGAAAGATTAACGATAAAACGCCTAACAAAAAGTATTTGCTACACCGGCGATTTTAAGAAGGCAGGTTTGAGAGGATTCTGGAAAAAAAAAAAAAAAAGGAAGGAAAAACTCTTTTAAACGTAGTCAGAAACGAAGCTATCCTCTCTACCATTCCAGGTGAAATCAAAAGGGGACGTGGTTACAAGATCTCGCCTTGGCGGGGGCGGGGGGATGTAAACACCCCGTCGAGGTCAGAGATTCACGAATTGAGGGGCTGGAGGTCGGTTTTTGGAGGGGTCGCCAGATCGGGTTTCGTCTTGGCGATGCTGACATTTTTCGGGGAGTTACAGACAATAGGGAAGCCTCGCGGAATCAGCTGATAGGTCGGCAAGGAATGGGGCGCCTTCCGGTGAGGCTCGTTTTGAGCCACTCTTTTTTTTTTTTTTTTTAACCCTTCGCGCCCCAGTTCGGCGGGCTCCAGGCCAATCGGAGCAAAGAAAACAAACCCACCGAGGTTTCCCGGTTTAACTCGGCCCCGGGGAGCGCCTGGAGTTTGACAGAGGAGGGCTGACTCCTAGCCGGTGGCCGAGTCGAGAATTCCGGGGGAGAAGAAAAAATGAGAGAGAGAGAGAATAACGCCTTATAAAGGACGGGGGCGTTGGGGGGGGGGGGAGAGAAATGGAGAAAATAAAGTCGCAAGTCCACATTTTAAAACCTAATGTTCTCAAGCACACAGCTGGCAAGGAGGTGGGTGGGACGGAGGACCAGAGAAGGGGAAGGAGCGAGCCGGGGACCCCAGAGGGCAGGGCGATCCCTGGAGTGGCTGCGGTTCTTGAAGCCTCGGGCAGCGCTAAGCCCCGGGGAATGGAAGCAAGGAGCGGTACTTACTTTCCGAGGGTAAGAAGGGCGGCATGTCTATTTTGTAAACCTCCTTGGCGTAGTATTCCTCGTCGCTCCGCTCGCGCTCGCAGGCGGCCGCCCTCCGGCTCGCCTTCTCCTGGAGCAAGTCCCTGGTGCTGTTGTAGATGGAGATCACCTCCGGGGGGACCTCCTCGGGTTCGGGGTAGTCTTCTGGGGGGCTGGTGAGCTTCAGCTTGCTCAGGATCTGCCCGCGGATCGCCTCGATCCTCTTGCGCATGAACTGGTCCATGTCGAGCGTGCTGCAGGTAGACAGGCTGAGCGCGACCGTGACCAGATGCAGGAGCAGAAACGCGCTCAGCACACAGTAGTGCATTTTTTTAAAGGTGGAAAAAAAATTTTTTTTTCTTTTAAGTAAAAAAGTAAGGAAAAAAAAAAAACCTAGCAACTCTCAAAGTACAGATCAGGTAGATTTTTTTTGAATGCGAAACTTTTGCAAACAATCGAGAGTCAATGTCCGAGAGAAAAAGGTATCTTGCTTGAATTCCTTTCAAAAGAAAAGGCAACGTCGTTCCCCAAGTGGAAATATTAATACACGACGGGCAGGGGGAACCTGCACTTGAGGGAGTCGGCAAAAGTTTTCTTGGAGCGACGAGATGGAGGGGAGGGGGGGCGGAAAAAAGAGACGAGTGGCTATTAGGCAGAAATAAATTTAGCAGGAGGAAACGGAGTTCAGTATGTCAGTTTCGGGTGCGGAGTGGCGAATCTGAACTCGGCTCCTCCGGCCAAAAGGGAAGAGATGAAAAGGTCCCGGGGCTGGCAGCGGGCGCGCCGGCGGGAGGGGCGCGGGCCGCGCTGTCAGGGGGGCGGCCGAGGCCGGCCGGCTCCAATTTATATATTTCAAGAAGGAGCGGCGCGGCGCGGCCCTGCCTTCCACTGCGGCGCTGAGAGCAGGAGCGGCAGCAGCTCCGGAGCGGAGGAGCGCACACGTGTGTGAGTGTGTGAGTGAGTGTGCGTGTGAGTGTGTGTGGTGTGAGTGTGGGCGCGCGCGTGGCCGCGCAGGGAGGCGGCGAGGATCCTGCTCCCGGAGCTGCGCGCGGGGGCCGACACCCCGGCCGGCGCGCCGACCCGCCCGCTCACTCCACGTTGCCGCCGCCGCCGCCGCTGGCGAACGCGTCCGGCCTCCAGCTCCCTCCTTCTGCTCCTCCTTCTGCTCTCGCTCCAAACGCCAACCCGGCAACAGGCGAGCGGCGGCCGCCGCCGTGGCTCTCACCGCCCGCGGACCGCAGCGGCAGCCGGGCGACGCGCCGGCGGGGGAGTTTTATTCCTAGGGGGGTGGCGAAGGGGTTCCCTCGGACTCCCACCCCGTCCCACCCTCGCCTGATTTCTCTCCCACGTGGGCTTTTCTCGCTTAGGGCAGCAGGCACTTGGCAGCCCGCAGTAGGTCCTCTCCTGCTTGCTTCCCGCAGCCGGGCAGCCCCCTCGGTTTGCGCCCGAATGGCTCCCTAGACCGTTATCCTAGCTCTCCATCCCTCTCCCCGGGCCTGCTTCACTTGCGCTCTCGCCCTTCCCTGTGCCTCTTCCTTTCTGCCGCTCTCTCGGTCCCTCCGTATCTCTCTGGCTGACCTTCTCTCTCTCTCTCCCTGTCTCTGTCTCTCTCTCTCGTCGGGAGCTTCTGGAGCTCCCCTCAGAGCGAACCTTCTGCTGGCAGCAGATAACATCACGATCCTGCCTGGGAGGAGAGATTTATAAGTTCTCCCCGAACCACGTGTTTGCCTTCAACAAAGTGACGTGCTAGGATTACAGTCAGGAGTCCTCTCGTTTACTTAGACCACGAGCTCTCCCTGAACCGTTGAGGGGGTGTGGAAATGAGGATGGCTGAGGGGCAGGGAGGGAGGAGGTGCAGTGTGCGCCCTGACAACAGTGATTTATGGTATTTACTTTATATAGTCATTTTGGACCCGTCTGGTGAAGGACAGGCGATCAAGCCTCCCATTTTTACTTCGTGTGGCTTGCTCACGGCTTCCCAGATGGGATCACTTGCTCGAGAAGCAAGTCTTCCCTCCTATATTGTACACACACACACACACACACCCCGCACACTTAGGCAAATGAGCATCAAACAGTTGACTCTGGGCCAGGCTAGCCCCTGAGATAGGTCATCCAAGCTCCACCTTCTTTGTAGTTCAGTCACTAAGTCATGTTCCACTCTTTGCGACCCCATGGACTGCAGCTGCCAGGCTTCCCTGTCCTCCTCTATCTCCCGGAGTTTGTCCAAATTCATGTTCACTGAGTCGGTGATGCTATCTAATTCCCCATCCTCTGCCACCTTATCCTCCTCTTGCCTTCAGTCTTTCCCAGCTTCAGGGTCTTTTAGTGGGCGTTTTCTGAGACTCCACAGCACCTGTGCTGGCACCTCTGACCTAAAGCTTATTATGGTTTGTTGTTCACAGCCTGGTTCTGCACTTGAAACAGAACTTTATCTTGTGCACCCAGAGAATGAATTGCATTTATTTTGCTGTTTGAATGAATGGATCTTAAGTTGCTGCCAAAGGCTTTCTCTTCACCTTCTTCCCCAGCTAGACCTGAGTGACCAACTTCATTTTTTCCACAGCCTATATATCCAGGAAGCTGGGATTTTAAGTGTTTGATGTCTGCTGTTACACACTACTCATAACTTAACATTTTCTGTTTCAACCTAGTCCAAATGAGATGAATAAAAATAATGCTTGCTCCTGTTCACTTCTCTTTTTCTCTTACTTTTACTCAAAAAACATTTTCATCATGACTGTAGCCATACCAACTAGACAGATGATTTAAACTGCCAACTGTTGAGGTTTCCCCCCGACTCAAAGCTACTATATCATTCTGTATTTAGATGTTCCTTTTATTATAGAAGTCACAAGGAACTTTCTCTAACTTTTGGAATTTAAACTTTCCATGTGTATGGGGTCTATATTAGTAAGTAGAGAGTTAAATAGCTGTAGTTAACAGAGGCAGACACATTTTACACTTAGTAATGTGCTGTGCTGTGCTGAGTCACTCAGTCGTGTCCTACTCTTTGCGACCCCATGGACCACAGCCCTCCAGGCTCCTCTGTCCATGGGATTCTCCAGGCAAGAATACTGGAGTGGGTTGTCATGCCCTCCTCCAGGGGATCTTCCCTACCCAAGGATTGAACACACGTCTCCTGCATTGCAGGCAGATTCTTTACTGTCTGATCTACTAGGGAAGCTGGTAGATCCTTAGATGTATATATGTTCATTTAATCTTCACAATGACACTCTAAAGTATTTTTATTATCATCTCTATTTTGCAGATGAAGAGACTGTGGTATAGAGAGGCTATGTACCTTGTTCAAGTAAGAAGCAGAGCTGGATTTCGTGAACAGAATCCATTTCCATGTTCTTACCCATTATGTATTTCTAAGAAGCACTGGTCCCAGAACATGTCTGATAAACAAGGATTCTGTGGTGAAGTTAAGTTTAGGAGATACTGGGTACTGTTGCCCTCTCACTGGTTCCTATTTCCCACCATGTTAAAGGCTGAGACTCTTATGGAAAACAAACCTGTTTAACTCTTTTAACCCAGCATATTCTGAACTCCTGTGGATTTCTCCCTATTAAAACACATTGGAAAACTCTGACATAAAGGAATGGTTCCAAACCACTCTGAATAATTCTGAAAATTACATATAAATCAACATAGGTGTGTGCCTTTCAGTCAGCTGCAAATTGAGGCAGCTTGAAAGGAGTTAAGACAACCAGCTACAATTCCAATAGTCAAAGCAAATTACGAGGCCCTACCATGGGGCTAGCAGTTTCATCAAGTTGTCATCCCTTTGAGTTAAGTTTGCAAACTGCTCTAATCTAGCTAGACACAAATGAGGAAAACTGAATATCCTTACCCTGGGGGCAATGACAGAACATAAAGCACGAGTGACTGAGTGAAGATGTGGCTTTGGAAGGCGCTGGTTACCTCAGGCACCATACTCTGCCAAGGACATAAGTTCAGCCTCCCCTCAAATTAGGGAGGCTACCTTCAAGATATAAATGTAAACGCACCTGAGGTTAAGTGGATTCAGATTCCAGTGTGGATAAAGCGGCAAAAGTCCATCTCCATCACTGCTAGGAAAACAAGCTAAGCCGTAAATCCTTCTGACAACCCCCTTCCCAATATAAATACACACACTTTTGTCCATAATATTTAGTTTGTTGAACACATATTGCTTACTTTAGAAATCCTTAGACTCCTGGCCTATTCATAAGAGGCTACTTTTAGTACTTACACTGCCTAAGGGAGGACAGTAGAGGGGTTTGTAAGCGTAGTGTGGTTGATCAGTGTGGAGGAGCCCTTTCTATCACTCAGATGAGCAGTCCCTCGAAGATGCAACAGGTAAGACTTCAAGAGCCGTCTCCCCAGTTTACCATAGCCATATGGGTATTTAACCTCCACAGGCCATCTTGATTCCCTCAAGGAGGCAGGTGAGCATTGTGGTTGAAAAAAAAAAAAAAAAGAAGGTAGGTTCCAGATTCAAGTATTCTTGGATTCAAATATCTGTCACTTCCTGGCTTTATGATCCTGGACAAGTTACTCAGACACCTTCTGTTAGTTTCTTCATCTATGAAATGGGGATAACACAGTTACCAAGAACATAAGATGATTGTGAATTACACAAGGTACCAAGAGAGCTTCTAACACAACCTGGCACTGAATACGTGTTCATTAAATGTTAGTGACCATTTCTGTATTCTCTCATGGCTTCAATTTGTCATATCTTTCTCCAGTATAAATAGGATGAAAAAGCCAGGGAAGATGCTGATAAAAATTTGCTTCGTGGTAATGCTTCCATGCAGTTCCTATAATGCACATGCTTACTGTTATTTTAAACGTTATGATATTTTGCCCCTACTAGTTATAGAAGGAAAGGATAAGAAAATACACTTTAGGTGAATAGAACACTAAGTGATTACCAAAATCCAATTAAGTCCAAATTCCAGTTTAAGTTCTTATTATTTAACACCCTAAAATAGAATTCTTTGTTTCCCAGATCAGAGCAGTAGAGGGTACAGCTGTTTCAACCGCTAGCCCTTCTCTGCTCATTAATGGGTCTATTCATTTAACTGACGTGCAGTTCCTACAAGACCCTAAACAAATGCTTGATGTCAAAACAATTACTCACCCCTACAGAGGAGTTTTACCCCTAAGGATCACAAACAAGAGTTTATAACCTAGTAGGTCCTTCCTAAGTCTGGTGGAAGAATAACTTCATTTGTAACAATTCTGAAAGCTTCCCCAATGGTTTCAAGCCTTAAAAACCAGGAGGTACAGAAAAGAAATTATGGAGCTAATGTAATTGACTATATTTTACTCTCAATAGTTAACACTTGATAAATGAAAAGTAACCCTTTAATGTGAAGACATACCAAAGCCTTTTTAAGTTCTAACTTATATCTTTGGTTTTGTCTTGTTTACTCGTTGTGTCCGACCCTGCACAATCTGACTCTACAGACCCCAAATACTGTAGCCTCCCAGGCTTCCTCTGTCCAGGGGATTTCCCAAGCATGAATATTGGAATGGGTTGCCATTATCTTTGGTGACATGATTCAAAAACAATTTTTTGGTCCATACATGTTTTGTCTCATGTTCTGTATACATGTCTATGCAAGTTTCTCCTCTCAAAATAATGAAATGATATAGTTTTCCCCAAGAAAAATCATCCAATTATCATTTCCATTCTGTATCTACAGGTTTATTTTAAGAAGTGATATAGGATGAAGGATAGGGAGGAAAAAAGCTGAGAGAGAAGATCACAGGTGGTAAACGATAAAGGGGTGAACTCAGG